ACACACACACACACACACACACACACACACACACACACACACACACAGAGAGCATTAAAAAGAGTAGGAATGTCCATGCAGTCACAGGGTTCAGCTCCTGACTCTGAGCCACATCACTGAGAACAGTTTTTGTGTCCATCCGCAGGCTCAAAGCAGAGGAAATGTCCAGCACAAGTCCAGCAAGTCCAAAGAAAGAGAGGCATGGGGAGCCGGTGACTTCACAACACGGCTCTGTAGGAAAGTCATTAGATCACACAACAAGACTTCATCAGCACCTTCATCATAATCCTTCCCACTGGAACCAGTGTGTCAGTGCAGTGTCCCGTAGGCACGCTCGCTAACGCTAACTAGGGTGCAGAGATGGTGGCGCTGTGATCGTCCAGTTGCAGACTAGGAAAGTGAATATCACAGTTTAAGCTAAGCTGACACAGCTAGCACACAGGGAAATGTCTGCTGCTGCTCCTTAAATTTTAAAGAAACACACCCATGGTTCTGCCCCGTATATCAGTGTATGTTACTGTCAGCAGTTTTCCAAAGAGTAATTTACTTTTAGGCTTTTTTTGTTAAATTTAGCTTTTCTCCAATCAGCCACTGTTTAAGTTCATTTCAGTAAACTTTTAAAATCAACTTGCAGAGACATTAGCTTGCTGTTATATTTTGTGGAATTACATTAGCATTACATGTTGACAAATTTGAAAGAAAAAGTCTGGTGATATTTGATATTTGTCTATGACCCAAAACCCACATTGGATTTGATACATGGTCTTCCTCTGACACATAGAGCTCCATTATCTGTGCACGCTGTGGCACTGGGGGACACGTTCCTTCACAAACAGTTGCCACAAATACTCACTGGAGCACCAAATGTGGATTAATCCGCCGCTGAAAATAGTTCCCAAACAAATGCACTTTTTTCCTACTGTCCCAGTAATGTTTCTTCAGAACTAAAGTGGCCAGCTGCTTTAGGAAATTATTGAGCTTAAAAAAAACAATATATTTGTGGGCTGTTTTCAGTTGTAACCAGTGGGCTTGGAGCTAAGGGTCGGGAATTCAAAGTATTCAGAGACTAACACATTGTTAGTTTGGGTCTTTTCCTGGAATGTGTTGACAATAAGAAAAATATAAAATACTACGAGGGATAACAGCAAGTAGATTTAAAGCGTAATGAAAAAAATGCAGCCAGTGGCTCCGTGGAAGGTAATGTGATTGGGATTTGTAGTTCATGACATAAAGCATAATGAAGCAGTGGTTGTAATTTAATTAAAAAGGGTCTTTCAGAGCCACAGGCAGGGTAATAATACTGCATCCAGGCTTATGGCCGATCGAAAGCCTCAACCTCTCACATGAAGCAGTGGAACTTTTTGCTTTGGTAACCAAACTTCTCATGTCCCTCACTTCCTCCTTCCCTGGTCATGTGACTCATCCCAGAGCCAATAGGCTAAAAGTGGAAGGGTGGGTGCAGTTGGTGGTAGTAAGGGGAAGTATTAGAGGAAAATGAAGAGCTGTCTCTCCTGAGGGCTAAAGGTCGATGCCTTTAACCAGCGAGGTTTCCAGTGTGACGGGGAAGTCGTGGAGTGTCTCCAGGACTCCGATGAGGGCGTTGACGGTGGTGCGGTCTCTGAGCAGAGCAATGTCCTCGTACATCCGCGGGATCACCGGGCATTCCACTAGCAGGGGTAGCCACTGGGGCAGCAGGCGGTCTCTGCACAACAAACAGTGAGATAACGTTTCTACACTGGGTGGCAGGAGGATGCCTATATAGTGCATACAAGCATCTGATATCTGTTTTCTGCCACACTGCCATGTTAAGAGTTTGGAGCAGCAATTGAGACTCGGCTGTGTGTTTGTTGCGTCTCCTCCAGAGAGTTGAGGTCTCGCCTATTTTTAACAGCAGAAACGGTGAAAATTATCTTTTGACATCATACCAGCAACATTACTACAGTTTTGATGTCTATATCAGTTGAAAATGTCACAGACATGGTAAAAACACTTCCTGTTTCCTTTTCAAAATAAAAGCCCTCTGCTGTCTTTCTGTGGACATAATCAATTCATAAAATTATTTCTGTACCAAGCTTTTGATTGTGGATTGTCATTATTCACAAATGAGCACGCGATTTTTAACTTTTTTATGACATTTATAATGAAATCAAACATTATGGCAATTATTGAATGCAAACTATGTAGAAAAAAGGGCCGGCAGCAACGTTGTCTGTGTGGTTGCTGCACGAGAGACGCAGCAGCTCAGCGAGGGTGAGTTAGATTCTCTAGGCCCCTGAAAACCTCTTTTGTCGGTCAGCTTCTTACCATAACTGTTATTTTCAGCTAAAGTTCAAACAGCTTGGGATATTATCACAAGGGATTTCTATTTCTGTCTGTGCTGTTGTCTCCGATACGTTTCTGTTCTGTGGTTGGATCCTGATTGGACCCTAAACACTCATATACACTCATCATACTATGTCCAAATATAATGTATGTCAATAGGACATATTGGATCATGAATATCTCTCTGTTCATTAAATGTGTAAATATAGTATATAAATCGTCTCTGACTTGACATGACTCTTTGGTGTGTGTGAATATTTTTATATCAGAGTTTCTTCTGGAAAAATGGCATATTGTCTTGAAATGCATTTTCTAAAACATAATTCATACATTTCCGCCCCTGTTCTTGGTGAACTCTCTTTACATCACAGAATTATAAACTGTAGGTAGGTGCAGCAGTGCTCTCTTAAAACGTACCTGGCTCCGAGGCAGACCAGCAACTGGAACTTCCCGTCCTTGCCGATGTTCCTGGGGGTGGAGTTGATCGCGTTGACGTAGCGACAGAGTGATTGACAGGTCATCCCCAGGGGCTCCGCAGTCTCCTGGAGGTCTCCCATCTGGTCAGCTGACTCCATGTAGGCAACAGCCTTCTCTGCAGAGGGAAAGGAGACGACATGTTTCCCAACACAACGTTCTGCAAATCATTCATTTTGTCCCAACATAAAATACGAATCAGTGTGCAGCTCCTTCTCTTTTTACATAAAAATCAATTTCTGAACTAAAATACATAAAAAACATACATGATGGTGCTGCATACACATTGACAAAATCCGGTTCAATACATAAAATTCGACTTTAAAAAAAATTACTAAATGAACACATTTTCCCCCACAAATCACCTAAAATGTGCCAAATTAAATAGCTCAGGCTATTGTCAGCAGATGGCGCTGTCCCTCCACACTCACCCACAAAGTCCCACACAAACACAGTCTTCTGGAAGAGCCGCGCCGACTTGAAGCCATGGTGGAAGAACTGTTCCAGAGCTGCCACCAAGCTGTTCTCTCCACATAGCAGGACGGTGAGGCTGCCTCTCTGCATCCAGAACCCCAGGAGACACAGAGAGAACAGAAATCAGTTCCCTTTACATAAACTCTACCTTATCCATGGGATTTAAAACAACTCTGGGTCTACATCTGTTTCTGTTGACAACAGAAACAGTAATATAGAAACTAATTATATAAAGAAAAAAAGCCTGTGAATAGTGTGGAAACAAGTTGAGAACAATAATATTAGCAAACTGTTGACATGAGGTTCATAACCACTACATGGTAACTTGAATTACTTCTTTTCACGAAGAACACCATTGTTTTGCTTGTCTTTGGTCACAACTAAAGCTAACAAAAAAATTCTAAAAATTAAGGTAACACGAAATGAAATGTCCCTGCTAACTACAGGTGACTGTTCTTAGTCATGCGATCGCCACTTCTTCAGACTTTGGTGCTGGTTAGTGCTAAAATAGTGCCTCGTTTCTACCAAACTCCACCAGTTGGGATCTACTTTCCGCCCCTGAACTTGATCCTGCAGTTTGAGCTGGTTAACAAAGAAAATTGGCGAGAGGATGACACAGCTGACAAAAACTGTTAATGCCATAAATCTTTACGTGGTCCTGTGGGATTTGTAGTTTTGTAGTGTGGCAGGAGAGAATTTCACGCAGCCCTTCGAGGCAAAAACTGCCTGTGACTACATGGAATCAGTGTTGTCTGGTTCACAGCCTCTTTCAGGGCTGCATGCATTGCCCTTTACTCCATCACTCCTCTGACAAGAGGGCACTTATTAAAGTGAGGCCTGCACTGTTAGACCAGCACTTGAGCACTCAGCACTGAGTAAAACATAATGAACACAGTCAGATGGAGACGGAGAGAATTACATCCACACAGTCTGGTGATGTTTAGAGAAAGTACAGCAGTGATTCAAATAATACAAATCTGTTAATTCATCACCGATTCTGAGAAGGAGATCAGTCGCTCACCTCTTTCTCTGGCTTGTGGAAGTGTTTGACAATGTTGTTTACAGCCTCCCCGATGGCTTCTTGGATTTGGGCTGAAGTCAGTTCTGGAATTAAGAAAACGGCCGTGTTGATATACAAGCAGAGAGAAGCATGGCTGCCCCCTCTTAGGCATTTTTCATGCTGAATGACTTATTTCCAAGAAACATATGAATGTATGAATGAAAAGAAGGTGGTGATTTTGTGTGATTCTTTGTGGAGAAACTCGGTTTTACAGATCTATTGATTAAATCAACAAGTCCAACAACAACGTAGGAATATTAGTTGACTAAGAATTTCTTTGGCCCTACAGAGAAGATCTCTGACAGTCTCAACAACCATTATGAGCATAACCTCACTGCTATATGACACACAGGACACTGAGTATTTTACAAGTTCATTCCAGTATTTGTAGACTTTAAAGTCAAGGGTTTAGTCATTGTCAGACCATCATTTCATTCCTGACAGAGACAGAGCTCTGAAATATTGAGTCTAAAGTGAGCTACTGGAATTATTATAGATCGCTCCAGTGTTTTAATCATTATCAATCAATAACTCATACATTTCAAAAATTATTCTTCTCTAAAATTTTAATTTAGATGGTGCTAAAATAATAAGCTCAAAATAAAAAAGTAATAAAAACATCACTTAATTCAGTTTCCTTATTATGTCTTTAAAAGACAGACAAAGACAATTACTAATTGATATTATTCATTAGAAAATGTAAATAGAGGTTTCCTCTACGTTAAACATAACGAGAGCTGTCTGAACCGGTTTCTCAAGATGATCTACAGACCTTGTGAGCAGTTTAATGTAGGAACTATTTTAATTGTGCCACGCTTCACCCGTCAACCGTATCACCGCTGTTGCTACTGCTAGCTCCCCTAGCACCACTGAGCTAGCCAATGTTACAGCTCAGTCAAGGAAGACACCATTAATGTTTACACCGTGCGCTGTCACAAGCACGAGCCTTTCGTCCGTGAGTAGATGCATACATCCTTCAGTGATACAGTTGGCTGGTGTAGTTGGGTAGAAAAAAAAAAAAACAGCTTACTACAAGATCTGTGGATTATCTTGAGTAACCGATTCATCAATTCTGGAAAGAGACATTGCTGTTAGGTTTCTTAAATGGATTTATGGATGAAGTGTCCATGAGTTCCATTATATCGGAGAGGAATCAGACATCTCTACGGCCGATATCTCCAACACTTGGCAACTAACACCAAAACTATCTAGATTGTTAAATAGCACTACAGGTGAGAGGAAATGTATTTAGTTTTGATTTTGGGGTGAACTTAAAATTGCTTTTTTAAAAGTCTATTATTACTCTGGTGCCACATTCTGGACAGCCTACTGAAACAGCTTTTATGTTGTGATATAACTATAAAGCTTTATCTCATGAGTCGGTATAATTACCAAATTGCAGTATCCTGTAAATAACTATGTAATTTGGTATTAATTATATGAAGTTAATTATATTTAAAGTCAGTTAAAAATATGTTAGTTACGTTTTTGTTGTTTTGTTGTTTCTTAAAATAAAAAATGTAATCCAAGTAAGTAATTCATCATTTCGGTGGGGCTATGGGGATTTAAAACCAGAGTGGGTCTACAGCAGTGAGTGTTTGCAGAGCTGCATGCGAGTCCTGACAGATACTCACTGTATCCTCGTCCAGACAACGACGTGATGTTGATGCGTCTGGTCTGGGATGGCGAGCGCTGCAGCGGGGGTGTACGGCAGCCTCTCCCAGAATCCTCCTCTCCGCTGGGCACCACCAGCTCACCGATCAGGACCCTCTCCAGGCTGCCGTCGTCCACACCCTTACCGAGCCACCGACCACATGGAAACCTGGAGGGGTGGGAGACAACAGAGGGCTGAGGGGTTTAGAGGGATCTGTTTTCGTTGATAACAGATCCCTCCCCCATGCTTCATATTCACGTGGTGTGTATATTTTAGGAAACTACAAAAAACTCAAAGGAAGTTAAAAGGTTTCTGGAACCGAGAGTCATTTTTCGAAAAAAAGAAAAGGGAGATATTACTGAGGAATTTATATTTATGATAATTTGGTTATTGTATGTCTAAATGAAATGCCAGAATCTTGAAAACCTATTCACCAATCTCTCCGGATTGTCCGTAAATTTCATGGCAATCCATCTGATAATTGTCGAGATAAGAAACAACCTCATGGTGGCGCTTGAGGGAGAGTCAGAGGTTTACCAACATCAGTAGGATTAATCATCTGCGGATCATGAATGGCTGTAAAAAATGTCACTTCATCAGATAGCTGTTGAGATATTTCAGTGTGGGTGGTGGACACCCGGAGTGACCGAGCACAGCAGACAACACACAGCACTCCACTCACTTGTATGTGTGTCCTGTGATCTCGTTGCGCACCATGACACAGTCCACCAGCCATTTAGCCAGCAGGCCGGCGTTATCGTGTCCCAGCTGCACCGTGGTCAGCTTCCCCAGGTTCTGACACTAAACACAGACACACAGGGAGGACAAAACCGAATGAATCAAATACTGCAACATCAAACCCTACTATATATACTTTATCAGTGTACAATCAACTGATGTACAAAGGACTGATATTACTGCTGCTGTTTTTACTATCTGACAATATGTCACTATCTTTAACAAAATCAAAGCTATTTTTATAACGTCGTTCGGTGTTTCACTGTGGGAATCGCCTCGGCGTGAAACAGGGAGTTTACGGTGTGCACCTTTCATGAAACGACATACCAAAGGATGTTGCCCCACGGGCTTCTCCCCAAAGCCTAAATAAACTTTAATAGTAGAAAACGCCTTACCCTTATCTACCAATTCTTGCAAGAAACACAGCAGGTCAACCACTGAACACTGAAAAGGAATGGTGTGCCTCAGCTGGCACCACTCCTCAAAAACCTACCATTTACCACTGTAAAGAGAGCGAGTGGAGGCGGCCCTTACACTCTGAATGGTGTTAATGACCCGTGCAGGCAGGCCTGCCGTTCAGGTTCCACCTCTCACGGGCCAAGCCCAGAGCACTACCCGGTCTGTGAACCGTAGAGTAGAAAATCCAAGCTAGCCTAGATGAGCTGAGGGAGCTAAAGTTTCTTCACGGGAAGAAAGCGAGAATGATTTGCGAGTAGGCGGTCTACTGTGGTAATATGAGGGGGCGGAGCTATAGCACAGTTCGACCTGTCTGTCACACCGAGGCGATTCCCATAGTGAAACACTGAACAACGTTAGAAAAAGAATCGGGGATTACGTTAAGTAACCCAAAATTACTACAAGGAACTTTCATTTTTTGTTGATTTTGGCGGTCCCTGTGGACGAAAGTGGTAGTGTTTCCGAACACAAGAATCCCTTTAGACAACCTCTCATTTTACTGGAGCCGGGTCTGCCTCACTCAGTCCTGGTTCTAGTAATCCCGTGCCTCTCTTACCTCCCATCTTTCAGTTAGTTAAATATAATGATGTTAATAATATTTCGTCACAATTTTTTACATGTTTCTTTATCTCATTTCCCTGATTAATTCATGGACTCTGGAAATGAGAATTAGCTGAATACAATCCTTAATCCTTTTCAAGGATGCCATCCCAGAATGCACTGAGCTGAAGTTATATACATATATATATATACACACACATATACATACACATACATATATATATATATACATACAGTTGTGTGAAAGTGTTTGCCCCCTTTCTGATTTCTTATTTTTTTGCATGTTTGTCACACTTAAATGTTTCAGATCATCAAACAAATTTAAATATTAGACAAAGATAACACAAGTAAACACAAAATGCAGTTTTTAAATGAAGGTTTTTATTATTAAGGGGGAAAAAAATCCAAACCTACATGGCCCTGTGTGAAAAAGTGATTGCCCCCCCCCGTTAAAACATAAATTAACTGTGGTTTATCACATCTTTGGAAAGCTGAGTTCAATTTCTCTAGCCACACCCAGGCCTGATTACTGCCACACCTGTTCTCAATCAAGAACTCACTTAAATAGGACCTGCCTGATAAAGTGAGGTAGACCAAAAGATCCTCAAAAGCTAGACATCATGCTGCGATCCACAGAAATTCAGGAACAAATGAGAAACAAAGTAATTGAGATCTATCAGTCTGGAAAAGGTTACAAAGCCATTTCTAAAGCTTTGGGACTCCAGCGAACCACAGTGAGAGCCATTATCCACAAATGGCGAAAACATGGAACAGTGGTGAACCTTCCCAGGAGTGGCCGGCCGACCAAAATTACCCCAAGAGCGCAGCGACGACTCATCCAAGAGGTCACAAAAGACCCCAGAACAACATCCAAAGAACTGCAGGCCTCACTTGCCTCAATTAAGGTCAGTGTTCATGACTCCACCATAAGAAAGAGACTGGGCAAAAATGGCCTGCATGGCAGAGTTCCAAGACGAAAACCACTGCTGAGCAAAAAGAACATAAAGACTCGTCTCAGTTTCGCCAGAAAACATCTTGATGATCCCCAATACTTTTGGGAAAATACTCTGTGGACTGACGAGACAAAAGTTGAACTTTTTGGAAGGTGTATGTCCCATTCCATTTGGCGTAAAAGTAACACGGCATTTCAGAAAAGGAACATCATACCAACAGTAAAATATGGTGGTGGTAGTGTGATGGTCTGGGGCTGTTTTGCTGCTTCAGGACCTGGAAGACTTGCTGTGGTAAATGGAACCATGAATTCTGCTGTCTACCAAAAAATCCTGGAGGAGAATGTCCAGCCATCTGTTCGTGACCTCAAGCTGAAGCGCACTTGGGTTCTGCAGCAGGACAATGATCCAAAACACGCCAGCAAGTCCACCTCTGAATGGCTTAAGAAAAACAAAATGAAGACTTTGGAGTGGCCTAGTTAAAGTCCCGACCTGAATCCGATTGAGATGCTGTGGCATGACCTCAAAAAGGTGGTTCATGCTCGAAAACCCTCCAATGTGGCTGAATTACAACAATTCTGCAAAGATGAGTGGGCCAAAATTCGTCTACAGCGCTGTAAAAGACTCATTGCCAGTTATCGCAAACGCTTGATTGCAGTTGTTGCTGCTAAGGGTGGCCCAACCAGTTATTAGGTTTAGGGGGGGCAATCACTTTTTCACACAGGGCCATATAGGTTTGGATTCCCCCCCCCTTAATAATAAAAACCTTAATTTAAAAACTGCAGTTTGTGTTTACTTGTGTTATCTTTGTCTAATATTTAAATTTGTTTGATGATCTGAAACATTTAAGTGTGACAAACATGCAAAAAAATAAGAAATCAGGAAGGGGGCAAACACTTTTTCACACAACTGTATATATACATATACATATATATCTTATAACTTAAACATGTAAAACTAGCAGTAGTTCCTTTAATGTATGCGCTGCTAGCATGCAGAGTGTGACGGTGTCACAGTAACAAAGGAGGTTAACACAGAGGGGCAGTGCTACAGTGATAAAGGAGGTAAACACGGAGAGTAAAGCTGAACATCATGCCCGACACACTGAAAGCCTGGACATCACCCAAACTGTGCTCGGAGTGTGCTCAGCTTGTGAGAGGTCAAAGGTCACACCACTCACGTCAAAGGTCATTTCCAGGACGTTCTTGGGGATCTGCATGATGCCCGAGTCTCCCAGCTCTCCGGACACACACACCCAGGGGTTGGAGGTGGTCATGGCGTTGCTCAACTTCTTGATGGGGATGATGACGACTCGATACGGGATCACTGAGGGGGCAGAAACGCCACGTCAGCGCCACAGCAGAGAAATAAACGATAACAAGCTAATTAGACTCAATGTAGGTAGGTTATCTAACTGGGTCGATATAATAATGAAATCACAGATTCATGGCGAACACACTGTAGCAGAAAGGAAACGGAGGACTTTAAAGCATGGCTTGTGGCTGCAGACATGCACACTCTGCATGTACGTGTGTTCATTTATCTGAATGGGATTAGCTGGTCTGTGAGCTGAATAATACATTGTGTATTAAAACTTGATTAAACCGTACATTCATCCTCATTCCTCATGGTTTATTCATACTAATAGCTCAGTCAGTGAGGATACTTTCCATATTTTGAAAAGCTACTGTATTGGAAAAACACAGAACAAAAAACACATTACAGTGCAAAACTCTATCATCTATGCTCCCTTTTCTTTAGGGTCCAATCAGAATGCTCCACACTGTCTTATTCTAACCAATCATGGTGTTCCAGCAAGCAGACGTGGCGTTGTACTAATGTTTGAATCGGAGCTGAGGTTTGGATGTTAAGGTGGAAGCTTAACTCTGATTGGATAGGGGTCGGAGGTCATGCAAGGCAGAACTCACTAATGGTAGTGAAGACGCTGGTGAAGCAGAAGTAGTCGACGGTGTTGAGGGAGAGCAGGTGGAAGAGGAACTGCTCCTTCTCCTCCTCACTGCGCAGGAAGGCGTAGCGCTTGTAGAGCTTCCTGTAGGACACCACACAGCCAGGTTAGGTTCACTTTAGAATATCATCGTCTGCTGTTCAAACTCCGCCCCTTTTCTTTACTGTTTGAAGAACTTGTCTCAGTCTTGAGTTTGGATACCTTTTCATGTTGGGTCAGCTGCTGGTAATGGACAGCCATGTATCAGTAAGTAAGCCAGAGAGAAGTGTCTTTTCTTGGTGTTTTTTTCATTCAAATTGTATTAAGATCATTTCTGTGATAAAAAAAGACTATGGTTTATATTATGTAAAACTGCAAACATTTTTCAAGGTATTCTTCACTTTTCATTGAGATTATGAGGACAGTGCTGCAGTACCAACATAAGCCTGGACTTATACTTCAAACTAAAGTACTTAGTTTTGTTCATCAGGCATGATTTATGTATGAAAGGGAACAATTTATCCAGGGTGGTCAGCTTCATGTGGTGGGCTGGAGTATATTTTCCACTTTTTTGAATTTCAAGATTCTGAATTGGATAACAGCACTTCATTCATAAATAATATGACATTTCTCTAATAATTTGGTGACTTGTAGACAAAGCATCTAATGCATGTATTAATATCACTTTCTCCTGTCATTTGGCAGAGCAGGACATGCACAGCATTTGGGACCAATTTGGGGTTAAGTGTCTTGCCCAAGGACACATCGACATGGACTAGCAGAGCCGAGGATCGAACCGCCGATCTGACTGAAGGACGAGCTCTCTACCACTGAGCCACTGTCAATCACAAGGTAGCCCCGCCCTAAAGCATACCCTGCTTTATGGTCTATTTGACTCGAAATAGACCATCATTTACTAACTGAACATCATGCTGTATAGAAGAAGACTTGAAACTAGAGATTGAGACCATAAACTCATGTTTACAATGTTTACTGAGGGAATAAATCATGTGAGAATTAGAGTCATTTTCTCATAGACTTCTATACAACCAGACTTCTTTTTGCAACCGGAGGAGTCGCCCCCTGCTGGTTCAGTAGGGATAATGCAATTTTGAGGCACTTCCGCATTGGCTTCACTTTTCAGACCCTGAGACTACGTCTACTCTTTTAATACAGTCTATGGACAGGACACTTGAAAGCTTATTTGGACAAGCCAAACAATGGTGAGGTTTATGCTTTATCTGAAGTATTTTCAACCAATAACTTTCACTTTCACAAGAGAAAAGACAAATTAAAACGTGTCTGGTCCGATGAAGAGCAACCGTCTCCCACGAGGTGGAGAAGAAAGAGATTTAATAACACTTACAGAAGAACTGCAAATATCGAGTCTAAAAGCTGGATAAATGTCTTCACACATTTGATATAAATTTATTTTGTTTTGATTCGCATATTGGTGTGATTGGTTTACAATAACTCATCTTTTGGGACATGCAATGATATTAGAACAGCTGCATCTCAGAACACGGAAATCAATCTCACCCTTACCAAAAGCACAGAGCAAGTGTGTGTGTGTGTGAGAGTTGATCACATGTGTGCTCACTTGGTTAAGGCGTGTCGGGACAGCAGCTGTTTAAGGTGTTGAGAGAGCAGCTTCTTCTCCAGAGACAGGCGGATCCAGGCCCTCGCTCGTCCCACGTCTGTCTTTATCTCGGACATGCTCTGGATGTGCCTAAGGAGACCGACAATGGAGGGACAGAAGACAGATGGATGAAGGCTCGTAAAAACGGGCACACCGCCATAAAAGTCCACCCTCATCACCCTGATGATCAGTGACTCTTAGTAATAAACTACTGTAATTTAACATGAACCTGCTGGTTTCAGCCTTTACTTCAGTCAGTCTGAAGAGGAGAGTCAGACTGTTCTTTACTTTTTGCAGTATTAATACTTACAATATTCACTATATGTTACGTAATATTACAATTCTGTTTGTATGATTCTACCACTGCTACTCCCGTCTACTGCATATACAAAACTTATTGTATGTCCTGTTGTAAACTTGCTCTTCTTGGTTTTTACATTCATTTAGTTCACGTAGATCTTTCTTTCTTTGTTCCATAAACAAACAAAGAAACAAACATCTACGTGAAAAGTAGTTTGCAAAGTAGCCAGGCTCTACGCCAAAACCATGAGAATCCCATTTTGAACTAGAAACCCTGATTTTGAACTATGTAAACAAAATGAACTTGACATGATTCTTAAATCTCCCAGAATGCCTCTCAACAACACCTAGGGAAACAGGGTTTTTCTGTGCTACGTATCAAAGAACCCCAGAGACAGGCAGTTCAGCATTTTCTTTTCAGCATAGTGGTCACAGTTACAGAATTACAACCAGTGAAGAAGAAATAGATGTGAAACTATTTTCGGAGTGTCACAAACACCCCAAAATTACTCTTTGTATTGTCAAAATGTTGTATATATTAGGTCTTAATTCTCAAACAACAGTTCTTAGTTAAAATAATACAAGTTGTGGGCATGTTGCTTCAGCTTCTGGTATCATGTTGCTCAGCATGGCTTTTTATTGGCCCTGAAAACACAAAAGCCTCAGGAAACCTGAAAAACATAGTCAACAACTGTCTTTGGGGTGCCATCTTGGAACACCGTATCCAGTTCTTTATTACATACATGTTATATGTGAGGATGGTGGCGTATTAGAGATGGAATGGTAAAAGCAAGAAGGTAGCCAATAATGTAATCTTCTCAATGTATCTGTTAACTGTTTGGTCTGTAAAATATCAGAGGTAAAAGGTGTTCAAATGTCTTGTTTTGTCTGACAAACAATCAAAAAACCCAAACGTGTATATTTTACTACCACAGAAAACAAAGACTAGCAATGAATCGACACATCTGACAAATGGAGAATGTCTGGCTTTTTTACTTGAAAAATTAAAAGATTAATGGAAATAGTTCACAATAATTTCTGGAATTTACTAAATGGTCAGTGCGAAGATGCAGCTTTAGAATGAAGAGCTTGTTCTCTGATTCTGAGGGGTCAGGAAGCGGTTTATGTTTTCACATGGGTATTTCTGAAATACTGCAAGTATGAACTATGTTTCTGTAATTGTCCATAAAATTAACCTTCAAATTGTATTGAACCCAGAATGGACTACTGTCTGTAGTTAACCAGCAGTGTGCTACTGAGGCTGTTTCTGCAGGCCAGTGTCCTCCTGCCATCGCTAGAGGACAGCAGCACGTACCTCATATCCTGTATGAGGGACACGCGTAGAGACGGCATTGCTACGGAACAGTCGGACTTCCTCCTCTCAGGAACATTTGACACTGTTGAAGAATAATATAAGATATAATGGCTTTGTTAAAATCAGAGATGTGTTTTAGGTAATGCAGGACAGACAGTTTGTGTGTGTCTGTGTTACCTGGTGACTCTGCCTGCTGCTGCTCCAGCTTCTCCTCTCGGGCCTGGTAGTGCAGCAGGTGGGACCACAGGGCCGACTTCCCCTGAGAGGTCAGAGAACCAGAATCAAGGCACACGTAAAGACAGCCAATGCATTCACTGATGAAGAGGAAGATTATACACAATATCCAATCCAATCCTATCCAATATGATCATACAAACCTGATTAACCACAGTGTGTTTATACTGACAGCATGGGTGGGTGTGTGTGCCATCAGATTGTGTTTATTATAAATCTGTTTAGAAGTAGGGTTGTATGAGGTACTTCTCCATAGTCAGTGTATTACCTACAGTATATGGGGTTTGGAGAAACAGACAGGAGAACCAGCATGGGATCAAAGTAATGTAATGCTGTGGACGTATGTTAGACAGATAAAAAAATCTATATCAGTTTAAGTGTACGCTATCTTTAGAATATTGTCATCGCTATACCTTGCTGTCAGACAGCCCTTTCTGATGGGGAATTGAAGCCGTTATCTATGCTCTTTTCAAAAGGCACCAGACTCCATTGGTAAAAACAGCAATTTTACCTCCCAGAACACAAGAGTTGCTGGACTACCGCCGCCTCGATCAGTTAGTTTGCTTGTGTTATTGTGTGACTTTTGTGAATCTGAATTAATAACACAAACAAACTAACCGATCGAGGCGGTGGTAGACCATACTCAGGGTTCTGTGTGGTTAAATTAGTTTTTTTGTCAAAGGAGTCTTGTGGCTTTGAAGAGAACATAGATAACGGCTTCAGTTCCTCCTCGGAAATGGAAGAGGTGAAATTATTCTTTTCGATACTTTTTTTTGCCCTTTTGCCTTTATTTGATAGAGATAGACAGGAAAGGGGGAGAGGGAGAGAGAGAGGAGACGACATGCAGCAAGGAAAGGATTTGGCCTTGGTACATGTGGTGTATGCTCTACCAGGTGAGCTACTGGAGTACCCCAGCCTAAAGTATTCCAAATACTGCGTACACTTAAACTGATATAGATTGTATAGCTGTCTAAAATACGTCCACAGCAGTACATCGCTTAACTCCTGTGCTGGTACTCCTGTCTGTGTCTCCAAAACAAACCTACTGTAGGTAATACGCTAACTACAGATATGCACCTCATACATCCCCACTCCCTTTCAGTGTATGTGTGTGTGCTGACCTGTTTGACCTGCAGCCCGTGGCTCCAGATCCTCTCCAGCAGGTCACACAGGCTGGCGATCAGAGTGTTTTCCTCCAGTCCAGTGATGTTGACATCACCGTGGCCCAGCTCTACCGCCTCCTGGCCCATCTTCTCCACCAGCATACGCTTGGTCTGAACGCGCACACACACACACACACACACACACACACACACACACACACACACAC